CATCATCATCAGCTCGGGACAATTTATAAATGGCTTCCTGGGTTGCAGCCTCAGAGATTCAGCAGGTCTTGGCTGGACCTCTGTCATCTCAATTAAAAATTAGTTAAGGAGGGGCGCCTGGGTGGCTTAGTCGGTTAAGCGTCCGACTTTCGCTTAGGTCATGATCTCGCAGTTCGTGGGTTCGAGCCCCGCATCGGGCTCTGTGCTGACTGTCAGCTCGGAGCCTGGAGTCTGTATCTCCCTCTCTCTCTGACCCTCCCCTGCTCACGCTGTCTCTCTCTCTCCTAGAAATAAATAAAAATATTTAAAAAAAAAATTAGTTAAGGAGGGGCGCCTGGATGGCTCAGTGGGCTAAGCGTCTGGCTTCGACTCAGGTCATGATCTCACAGTTTGTGAGTTCGAGCCCTGCATCGGGCACTATGCTGACAGCTCAGAGACTGGAGCCTGCTTCAGATTCTGGGTTTCCCTCTCTCTCTGTCTCTCCCTTGCCCATGCTCTGCCTCTCTCTCTCAAAAATAAATAAAAAAAATTTTTTTAAGAAAATTAAAAATGAATTAAATAAAGGAACATCTTTCTGAGTGTCACCAGAAGATTCTGTGTTATAACTATGCATGTGAGCCACTGATATCCTGAACCCCTGATTCAACGCACAAAGTCCCTCTACAACATTAAATGAACGGTGGGCAGCCAGCCTCTGAACACTTTCAGGAGTGGTTCAGGGACTCAGCGCCGCTGAGTGGTGGCTGCGTGGCCCACCATGCTAAGAGGATTACCTAGATTCACTGGAGAAGAGCGCCAAGCTGACTAGTGCCCTCTGTCCTGGACATAGGCAGTGTGACGATGCATCTTTGCTGTTCCCGATGAGATAGCTGCTCTGAATCCCATTCAGCAGTGGTTAGTTCATGAAGACTGAAAACAGCGATCTGCCTCATAAGTTTAGCCTCACATCAGAGTGTAGCAAGGAAATAGCAGTATTGCAAGTGTCTGAAAGCTTGGATTCAAACAGCGGCTCCACCGCTTCCTAACAGCCGTACCTTGAGAAATATGCTTATCCTTGAGGGTCAGTTGCCTGTTTATCATACAAGGACATGATATCTCCATGGGGGTGTTTTAAGAATCAAATATGCTCATAAATGTGAAAAGGCTTTGAAAATGCTGATTAGGGGCCCCTGGGTGGCTCCATAGGTTGAGCATCCAACTCTTGATTTCGGCTCAGGTTCATGATCTCACAGTTCATGAGTTCAAGCCCTGCATCAGGCTCTGCATTGACAATGGGGAGCCTGCTTGGGATTCTTTCTCTCCCTCTTTCTCTGCCCCTCCTCTGCTCGCACTCTCTCTCTCAGAATAAGTACATTAATTTTTAAAAAAATAAAATGCTGATTTATTTTTAAAAATAAAAAGGACTCTCACTGACAGTGTATGATCAAACATTAGTGCTATAATTCCCAGGAGTACAGGTGTTTGAGCAGGTAGCCAAACATAAATCCGTGGCAATACAGAACTCAGTACACGGAGCCTTTCTTCCCATAATGATATCAAAACTTCCTTTGTGTTCAGAACAAAGGCTTGTTCAAATCCAGAGCAATCAGAAAGCCAGTGTGCCCGGTTGTCAAAGAGCTTTTGCAAACATTTCATAAACATCGACCTCTCTGCCTTTGCCTTTGCCTCTGCCTTCGACTTCACTGACACAGTCTGGTCACTGATTGGAATTTAACTGACCTGCCTGTTGTCCAAATTCATTCAACAGAGTTTTGTAATTCAAATGGCAACTTGCCCTGATGGGCCTACCTGACTCCTGCTACTTTGAACTGAATGGACTTAATCTGTTAGATGCTAAATGAGATAGACCTTAATTGGAGGGAAAGGAAGATATCAAAATGTAAAACTGATGTAATGACTTATTAGTTTGTTAATGACCTCTTCAAGAACAAGGAATAGTCTTACCTACCTCTGTGCCCTACAGGACTTTTTTTTTTTAAACATTTATTTATTTTTGAGCGACACAGCATGAGCAGGGGAGAGGCAGAGAGAGAGACACACACAGAATCTGAAGCAGGCTTCAGGCTCCAAGCTGTCAGCCCAGAGCCTGATGTGGGGATCGAACTCACGCACCGCAAGATCATGACCTGAGCCGAAGTCGGCCGCTTAACTAACTGAGCCACTCAGGCGCCCATGTGCCCCTACAGTAGTTAGCGTCATTTTTGGACACTGCATTGACTTAAGACCTGTTTGTTGGATGAATGCATGACCCATGGAATGAATGATTCACATGCAACTCCCAGATGAACCAGGGCTACCTGGGCTCCTATGACAATGAAGGTGTGTGTGTGTGTGTGTGTGTGTGTGTGTGTGTGTTATGTGCCTGAGCCCCCAAGCCAAAGGCATTACTTACTTTAGAATAAAAAGAATTGTGTCTACCCACTTCCAACAGAACTAGATGATTTAGGGGAACCTGGGTGGCTCAGTCAGTTGAGTGTCTGACTCTTGATTTCTGCTCGGGTCATGACCCCAAGATCATGGGTCCAAGGCCTGCATTGGGCTCGTGCTGAGCATGGGGCCCCCTTAGGATTCTCTCTCTAAAATAAAAATGAACTGGATGATTTAGTGAGTTTTTTTTAATCATTTGAGCCTTCAGGCTAGTGGTTTGACTTTAATTTCTACAAAACACCTCTTGTGGTAGCATTACTCCTCAAAGACAGAAGATAGATGGTGTTTAGGACACCCCCGGTATCAGGTCCCCCAGTGTGACCCCCATCTGTACTGGCAGCAGCCATTAAACATGTTTTCTGTGGCCCAGATCCTTCTTTTGTAAAATGGGGATCGTGATTACTGTATCTACATCTCAACCAAACAGGCGAGTTCCCATTGAGAGGATGACATGAAAGCACTAAGACCCAGCATCGCACACGTGCTCGCTAAGAATGTGTGTCCTTAAATTGGTATGCTTCCAGCCAATACTAACACAAGCCGTCAAATCCAGAAAAAGCACCAAAGTGATCGGTAGGATGTATATCCCACCCAAAGAAACCAAAATGATGTTCTATGGAGACTCATGTGGGTCAGCATCATGACCTGTCAATTCTGCTGAAGCATTTCATCCCATAGGAGCAGGGGAAGAGAGGGTGGAGTGGAGTAGGTCAGGATTGTGCAAAGTGCCATTTGTTGAAAGCTACCATGTGCTGGTGTCTGCATCAAAATACCACAAAGTGGCTTAAAAATGACAGAAAGTTATTGCTCGCGGTTCTGGAGACTGAAAGTCCAAGATCAAGTCATCTGACCAGCATGGTTCAGCGCCCTCTTCCTGGTTCAGAGCCGCCACCTTCTACCTGTGTCTTCACATGCAGGAAGGGGCTAGGGATCTCTCTGGAACTTCATTTTTAAGGAATTCTCCCTTTCAGGAGGGCTCCACCCTCATGACCTAAGGACTTCCCAAATGCCCACCTAATACCCTCATTTTGGGGGAGATCAGATTTCAACTAATGAATTTGGGGGCAATATTCAGCCCATAGCACCAAGGGCTACTGGGGTTTGGCAAAAGAAGGATAAGGAAGGTTCCATTCATATGCAATCTTCAGTCCCCCCCACAGCCCTGAGAGGAAGGATTATTCACCTCAGGTTACTGGTAAACCAAGGAGCACATAACTCACGTCCTAACTACCAAGCTACATGCTTAGGATTCGAACCTAGGCCCATATGATTCCAAAGCTTTCCATCCACTCACTTCATAGTTATTTGTTGAATGTTTCTTATGTGGAAGTCCCCATACAGAGGGCAGAGGAATAAGAGAGTGGCCCTGCCTGCTTTCATGAACCTTAAAAGTTCCCTCCTAATTGTGTAACTACATCAGAATCACCAGCTATAAAATAAAATCGTATCTTAGCGCATTTGACATGGGCACAAAGTAACCTATGTGTTTAAAGCATGAAGAAAAGATAGCTCCAATCGAGTCATACCTATTGTACGCACAGTATCGGCGTGTGCTCTTGTGAGTGGTAATCAAGGATTTCTGCTCTTGGAGCCGTACCCTCAGATTTAAAAATAAATGACATTGATTTATCATTAGGGCCTTTTTATATAAGAACTTATCTCAACAGAACTTTTAAAGATATAAAATATACAGTTTATGTAGCCTTAGGTTTCTTAACAGAACCAAATCAAACCGAATAATAAAGCAAAACGGAATAATAAAATGATCAAATAGTGTAAGATCAAGTCAGAACTGATTTGGAAGCACCTTTTATAATTACTAGGCTGGAAGCAGTCTCTGTAGATTTGGCAGAACTGAATCATGAAATGAATTAAGACCATACCAAATTATTAATACTTTTCATATGCTGTGAAAAGTCTTCCTTCATGCCTCCCTGGGAACTGGAGCAAAATGTCTCAAATAGCAGGCAGGGAACATTGAGGAAAATTAATAAATGGGATATTGCTTATTGTTTTTTAATATCCATTTGTCAAATCCTTTGAACATTTATGGACCTTTATTCTTTCCGAAGAAATTTCAAATGCCTTAACTCATTTAATCTCTATGAAGTCTCTGGAAGATTTCTGAGAGAGGCGTCTGTGTACAGCAGGTAGTTAGGGACCTGGGGCGGGGGGAGGTTCAACCTTCAGGGTCTGGGACTCCTGGCTGGGCTCCATCGGCAAGTTTCTTTCCTGGTCCATGATTCCCTGACCACACTCGGTAGACTGAGAGAGGCAGTGAAGAATGTAGCTGTTTAGCTGACACCTCTAGTTCCTTTTTTTTAATGTAGGGGTACACCTCAGTTTAGAGGGCTGTGGTCACACTAGCCTCAAGGGATCCACTGGCTGATGGCTGAATCGGGCAGTAGGACTCAGGCTAGGCCATTTCCACCTCATGAAGGACTCCTCCAATGGGCGATCTGTGCTCTCAAACTCCCCGCTGGCCTGGCAGAGACTGAGGGAGTTTGCCATTGGTCCAACAGCTCCCCCTCTGACTGATCCAGCTTCCTCCAACCTTACCATTCACAGATGTTACTCCCAGTAAACCTTCTGCATCCCTTCCGTCCTCGGGGCATCTGCTTCTAGAGGGTGCCTACCACTCAGAGCGCCTGCCTGGGTGAACCACGATTAAGACAATATGGACGACGTTTGGAGTCCGGAGTCGGCACATGGTGAGTTACCCAATAAATATTAACTACTGGTTATATTCCAACCCTTGCTGTGTGCTTAGAGGAGTAGAGGCAGTGCTGTTAAGTGATCAGCAAACTGAACTAATTCCTTCTACCAGTCAGCCATTTTTGAAAATGCCATTTTAATGGCGCCTGGGTGGCTCAGTCGGTTAATCGTCCAACATCAGCTCAGGTCATGATCTCATGGTTCCTGGGTTCGAGCCCCATGTGGGGCTCTGTGCTGACAGCTCAGAGCCTGGAGCCTGCTTCCAATTCTGTGTCTCCCTCTCTCTCTGCCTCTCCCCTGCTCATGCTCTGTCTCTCTCTGCCTCTCAAAAATAAATTAAAAACGTTAAAAACAATAAAAAAAATAAGTAAAATAAAATAAAATAAGAGATGCCATCTCAAAGGAAACTTCGTGACATCACATTATTTGACCTTGTATATCAGTCATAGCCAAGAGCTCATATCTGAGTCACTTTCAAGGGTGTGAACCATTTCTCTTTCAAGATGGCGCTTGGTATGTGTGACAGTCTTATGTAGGAAGTTCTGGCTGCCTTGGGACTGGTCCTCTCGATTATCTGCTCTGTGGTCCCCAAAGAGACAGAAATCCTGCTGGCTTTCTGTAGACTCTTTGTGTACATGATAATAACCTGTTTGTTTGACCTTTTTCATTATGTCTCCATTGACTTAGCTTTATCTTTACAATTGTGCCTTAGTCAATTGTCTTTATAGCATGGGTTTATGTATAACCTCTGATGGCACTTTGTGCTTTTGAAAATGTACAAAAACTTACCAATTAAATGCTGTGTTTCTTCCTCCATGTGCCAATTTACCTCTGCATACCTTCCACCATTTTTGAGATCTTAATTCCTCAATGCAGAATGTAGGAATTATTCCATTCTCCTCCTTTTCCTACCATTTATTAAGTATTTTTTATTTATTATAATTTATTTACTATTTATTTTTGAGAGAGAGAGAGAGGGAGAGCATGAGCAGGGAGGGGCAGAGAGAGAGGGAGAGCATGAGCAGGGAGGGGCAGAGAGAGATGGAGACACAGAATCCGAAGCAGGTTCCAGGCTCTGAGCTGTCAGCAAGGAGCTGACATGGGGCTCAAGCTCATGAATTGTGAGATCATGACCTGCACCAAAGTCTGTCAACTGACTGAGCCACCATTAAGTGGCTTTTAGATGCAAGCTCAGTCCCCAAATCTTTATACCTCAACTCATTTGCTGTCCCCGAAATTCATGAAGTAGGTATTGCAAAAAGAAACAGGCCAGAGAAGTTCTGTGTCTTGCTTGAGGTCACACAGCTGGCAGGTTTCTGTGTCACTTGGGGACCATAGCTATAAATAACAAATGACAACTGTGGTTGGCAGGAAAGGGATTTATAAAAAAGATGTCAAAAATAGTTAATGAAAGATTTTTGCAATATTGCTAAATATTGAAAACAATAATTTGGGGGTGGTGTCAGGAGGCTCATAGAAATATTGAGAGGCAGAAGCCCAAGAAAAATACCCCATATTTCACTCAAGAATCCCCCCCGCTGCTCCCTTGTCCTTGTGTGTCCCAAACTGAAGCCCGGTCTGGGCACCTCTGATGCACTGGACCTAAGTCACAATCCTGAGCCTGGGAAAGGAAGTATCCAGGACTGTCAGCCTGTCAGTGGCAGGGGCCCTTTGCCCATGACCAGGTCTCTGAAACATAGGCATATGTGGGAGGCAGAAAAATGCCCTCCACCCCAAAGATGGTCAAAGAAATTATGAATATATATGGTTAAGGTTACACAGCAAAGAGGGATTAAGGAAGCAGATGGAGTTAAGTTTGCTAATCAACTGACCTTGAAATAGAAAGATTACCCTGGATTATCCGAATGGATCCTATGTAATCACGAGGGTCCTTCCAAGTGGAAGAGGTTAGTGTCAGAGTGATAGAGTATGAAAAAGTCTCAACCAGCCACTGCTGGTCTTGAACATGAAGCAAAGGGGCCATGGGCCAAGGGAATGTGGGTGGCTTCTTGATGCTGGAAAAGGCAAAAAGAGATTCTCTCCCCCACCCCAGACCTACAGGAAGGAATGGGGCCCTGCTGATGTCTTCCTTTAACCCAGGAAGAGTGACCCAGCTTGCACTCCTGCCCTCCAGAATGAAGATGTCATAAATCTGTGTTGTCACAAGCTATTAACTTTGGGGCAATTTGTTACAGCAGCAGCAGATGACTGATACACCAGGTACCAAGACAAACGTCCCCTGGAATGCAGAGCCAGACCTCCAAAACCAGGTCTGCCTGTTGCAAAGGTCCATGCTCTGCTCAGAACACTGTGCTGTGAGGACCTGCACTGGAGACAATTCAAGAGGAGAGCACTGAAGGCCGGAACAGAACCATGTAGTGGAGAAGACAGGATGGCAGGTGTGGACTGCGTAGCAATAATCTGAGTGGAACATAGAGAAAGCAGAGAGGAAGTAAACCCAGGCTTCAGACGTGCTGTCTGAGAGGGGAAAGGGAGCTGATACGGGCTCCAAGGGCCCACCAGCCTGTGTTTTGGCTCCGAGTGACCGTGTAAACATGCACATGAGAAGCACAGGTGTGAGGAAGGCTTATAAGCTCTCAAGGCTAACAGGGTGACATGGAACTTTGACTCCCTCCAGCATTCAGTTTCCCCAGGGGCTCCCACGAGATCCAAGAAGGGAGAACCCACTGCAGCAAATATGGAAACACACTGAACACTCGGTCGGAGGATCGATCCTACTTGGAGCAAGTGCCCATATGTTAACCACAGCAAAGGAAAACGAGTCCGTTCAAGGCTCTGGAGAAGGGGGTCTCTAGAAGTTTCCAGGACACAGAAGGATGAGAAAAGAAGATCGTGGCAGTACTGCCCAATGAGGGCATATAAAATCCAGTTGATACTCTCTGGTATTTGGTAAGCCGTTTTCCCTTTCTTTAAAATAATATGTTGAGGGACTTTCAGATTGCTCCCTACCGGCCTTGTCCTCCTGCCTGGTTTTCTTCTCCCACCCCTGAGATCAGAGATGCCTCCACCGCAAATCGAACATGGTGGGGACAAGGCGGGGGCTGGCTCACAGAAACCGAATTCCTGTAGTTTGAGAGAGACCATGAGAAGGGGCTTTGTGCAGAATTCAGCTTCCATTTCTGCCCCCCCAACCATTTGAACTCAGAGCTGGGGACCCCGTTTTTCAGTCTCTGAGCTTTTCTAAGTGTCCCCCAGCAACACGGAAATGGGCCATAAATTCTGATCATACATGTGTTCCAATTGGGCCTTTCTAGTGAATCTTGGCATACCCCTAAACCCAGGGGGCCACATCTCTTCTTGCGAGTCCCTGGTTTTGTAATCTCCGATTTGCCCTGGGCCGGTCTCCCTAGTCTCTGTGGGCTCCCTCATAGTTCTAGCTCAGCTGTGACCCTAATGCCCCCTTCTCGGTCCCTGGCTTCAGTCTGGCCCTGACTTCATGCCCTCAAACTGGACCTAAGTGTTGTCTCTACCCCAATCCTGCTTGAATTGAATTGAACTGACCAGAGACCAGCCTGAAAGGAGGTGAGGGGAAGAACTAAAAATTTGTCTTTTTCTTCCAGGACCCTAGAAACTCATCCAGATTCCATGGGCATCCAAGTTCTGTTTGTCTTTAGAATTCCTAATTTCTTCATCATCTTTTTACCGATTTGGTCTTGATTTCTTTCTATCCTGTTTTCTCCCTGGGGGATGTGTGTTCAATCCAAGCATCTGCTTACAGCCTCCTTTTGAATAGTCAGGCAAATATTCATTGAATTTCTGTGGCATTGTTTTCCTCTTCTCTCAATAAATTATCCTGTCTCCTGTTAGAGGCCACCACGTCTCCCTTACTGAACTCCAGGCTCCTCGTGTGCATGAAAAATCCCTCTGAATTTATCTTCATCTCCAGCGCAACCTCACCTTGATTAGTTTCCAGCAGCTGCATGTTCCTGCCGCTGTCGGATATTAATGCACTGTGTCGCCCCCAGAAAAGTTTGCTAACTTTGTTCCTTCCTTGTTTATGCAAGTCTCCCTTGTGCATGAATCAGCTTCTGCCCAAGCATGGGAAAAGTCAGGCAGCCCCAGCCCCTGGAAGCCTTATGCCACATACAGTCAGCAGCCCTGAGCCATAACTTGTTTCTGCCCACTTTCAGAAGGGTGGTTTCAAAGTTGAGCAGAATGGTAGAAGGGCCCCTCTGGCCCTGGCTGCCGTGTCTGGGCCGGGGCCACCCCAGAACTTCCCCACCCCATGTGGGTCCCCTGTGACTGATGGGGATGCCTATTTATACAGTGAGTGTCATTCTGGTTACAAATCTGAGCGATAACGTGAGTGTTTAGTGATACGCGCTTGGAAGAGACAATGAAAGCGCCATAAAAGCACTGGGCTTCAATGCCAAGGGTTACCCACCATTCACATTCCTTGGGACATATTCATGGATATTCCAAGACACCAGAAGGAAGGATTTTCCTTTTTGCCAGTCCTAATAGAGGCTGAAGATAAGGAAAATCGTCCTTGCCCTAACATAAAACTAAAGAGCATTTCCCTTGTGACGTGGTTTCAGGGACACCCTGGCCAGGGCAAGCTAGGATGATACCCACAGCCCTTCCCCCAGAGGCCAAGAGGAAAACACATGGCTCTTGGATCTGCAAAATGCTCCACCAATCTGAGCTGCGTAATCTGGGTCGAGTTATTCAATTTCGCCAAGGCCTTCATGTCCTCATATATAAAACGGAAATCATAATAGTCATGTAACAGGACTGCCTTACAAGGGAAATGAGGGGATGTATTTGATTACAGTGTCAGGCCTTCTCCTTGGCTTCTGAGCTGGTGATGACCTTCTGGGTTTGGCATTGTAGGTGGCGATCCTGTGGGACTTTGGCCAGCACAGAGAATCTTCTGGGCATCGTGGATTTGGGCGATGCCCCTCTTTGCCTAGACATAGATCCTCAGCAGCGTGGTAAGGCACATGCCTATGGAGCTCAGATCTTGCTCCTGCCCCCGATTGCTGAGTGATCTTTGGCAAGCAGTGAGCAAAATAATAGGACTGATAGGATTTTGCAAGGATTAAAAGAGATAATCCATGTGAAATATTCAGCAAATACTTTCAATAAATATTTATTAATAGCCAAGTCCTTGATTATTTCGAAATGTCATTTTCCTAGGAGGAAAGAGGAGGAAGATGAGGTTCTTTCCAGCTAAAGAAGAAGAATACGTTCGTGTTTCTAGCACCTCTCCACGGTCAGAGTTTGGCGTACTGACCTGTAAACTGTCAGATGAGTAAGGCAGCCAGTATTGCTCTCAGCTGACGGAAGGGGAAATTGAGACGCACAGAAGTTCAATGGTTTTGCCAAAGTCACATGGCCAGGAAGAAAGAGAACCCACCCATCTGACGCTTAGCTCAATGATCCATAGCACGTTGGCTCTCGAAGTAAAAGTCAAGTCAGCGGGCTCCTATCCTCCAGGCTGGAGTCAAGACAATTTTATTTGAAACCTTTAATAAAACCATTTGTGTCTTTTAGTGCCATGTGTAATTCCTGGTCTTCTCCGCCTGCCTCTTGCGTCCTAGCGAGAAAAGGACACCAACTCCCTTATTCCGCCAGTCTTTGAGATTCTGGGCATCAAACAGAATCACTCTCGGAGGTCAATCCAGATGATTATTTGAGAGACTCAATTTCCTTTAGAGAAGGCACATTGTCAGTTCAATCTACTGTGGAATTTGTAGTATTAATGAATTGAAGTATACTTTAGGGATTTCCCCCAGATGCTTATTTTAATTTAAGCTCTAGGGGTTTAACTTTCCAAAATACTCAATTTTGTTCATTATGAAAACTAATAACTGGCTTATTTCACTGCTAATTTGGGTACGAAGGTTAATTATCTATAGTGGAGTGGTCTCGAGCTAATCTAAAGTCTACCTGAACACGGCACTGTGGCTAATTGATTCCCCCATGCACTGAGAAATGACTATTTCTTTGTGGGGAGGAAAAAAAAGAAGCTTCATCGACTTGGATTCTCTTTGCCTTTATCTTTGTAAAAGGAGCGAGTCCCTCCAAGATGGTGGGGAACCTTTCCCTTTTTAGGGTCTGGGGAATCCATTCGGTTTCTCTGTTAGAGTGTTCCACTCCATTCCATCTCAGCATCTTCCTCACCTCACAAAATGCCCAGTCACTGCCCCCACCATTACTCATTCAACACAAAGTTGGAGGACTATGGATACATATTTTACATTATGCTAGCGTGGTCATCATCCAACCAGATGCTCTGCCTTCTAAAACCCACCAAAAGTAATGGTAACAACATCAAAAACAATATTAATATCTTGTTCTCTTTCTAGTTTCAAAAGGACAAAGGGTTTCCCGCATCTTTCTGAGAGTCTTTGAAGTGCGTAGGACACTTTATTTATCCCCCTCTGTGGCAGATGAAGAAACATAGACACATAGAGACCCAGGTTCCTATGTAAGTCTGTGTGAATAATGGAAATAGAATACTGGGTTCCTGGTTCCTAATTCTGTGCATTTTCTACTTAGTTACACCACCCCTGTGATCAGTAACGTACTCCAAAGACAACTTATTCTGAGCATTATGTGCTATTTCAGATATCCAGCAACGCAATTCTGTTTCTTGCATTCCAAGAAACCCAATTGTGTCTCAGGGAAGTAAGGTACGTTGGGAACGTTGCCCATGAGATCGTAGAGAACACTCAGTCATTCGGCGTTCACACCTTTGCCTTTAAGGTCAGCCCCTTCTCTCTTCTGGCTCTTTTCTCAGGATAGAAGGCAAGATATCTGGGTCCAACTGAGGAACACGCGCCTCTCAAAGACTAAAGCCAGATTTGGCCCTGAACTTCCTGTGTGTGTGTTAGTCTTCGAAGCTCTCTTTTCCCCCCATCCACGTCTGATTTATTTAAAAATTACTTTCGAAACCAACTTGAAGCAGCTTGAAATTAATTTAAACTCCCCCCAAACTGAATTTGTCAATGTCCGCCATTGTAATTTGTTACGTTGCATTATAACCTACGACAACCCGTGGCAATGTCAGAACTCCGATGATGTACTGTAGTCTCCACATACAATATATCATAAGAGCAGTTTCAGCTCGGATGATAGATGGAGCAAGCCTGGGAAGAATTTGAAAAGAGACTTAAATTTCCAGAATTTTTTTTATTCCCTTTAAGTGGCTGAAGGCATCACCCCCAAGAGATCACTGAAAGTCTAAATCATTTTTTTCTCTTTCTCGCTCTGCATCAAACAGAGGTCTGCAAAGGCAATTAACCCAGCACATTGGCAGAATTGCTGAGGCATAATGTGCTTTTGCTACGGCCTTGCAACTTTGGCCATGACATTGCCCCATTGGTTGGGGAAGAGAGAACAGATCTGCTTTCTCTTAAGGGCGTTCGCAGTGATCTACAGTCATGGTCTACCCATCCCTTTGGCAGTCTCTGCAGATCCTTGGTAGGACTGATCCGCAAAAGAGGGGAAGGAATTCACCTATGGTCTGAACATCATGCCTGGGCCAATGCCTACCAGGCAACCTGCTGACTTAAATGCATTGATGCCAGGCTGGGGCTCTACAACCATGGAGAACAAAGTTCTCTACAGTGAGATACACCTTCTATAGCAAGCAACAAATATGGTGCACCCACAGATATGGATTACATACTGTCATTCTGATCTGTACCAGAGTCCTAGACTCCTTTAGCAAACTTAAGCTCAATGGTCCAGCCATCTAATTTTACGGAGGAGGAACCTCAGGGCCAGTGACTCATGTCAGGTCAACTTGGAAAGATCATGAGACCTCAGGTCCCTTATATTTTGCACTCTGAACCAGCAGGTCTCCATGGTGACTGCCTAACATGCTGGTGTATCTCGGTGAACTGTGGGTTTGGCTGCAGGTAATTTGTTACTTATAATAAATTTTAAACTCATGACTTTTTTTTGCCTCTAGCCATTGTACTTGCTTCCTTGAGTGAAAGAGAAGAACAGACTTGCAACCATTGCATTGGAAATTGTATGTACCCCTTGGGAGTGAAATCCATGCTATAATGTTCAAACTCGTTGTATTAGATTGTTATGAAATCTAAAATGGGTGAGAGGTCTGCTGCCAACAGGGTGGAAAGAATCAGAATGTCAGTGGGGCCACTGAGGACCAGTGTTTCAATGTCACAGATTGCCATGGAGACTATTCTTTCCTTAATGCATGGGATTGAGTCGATACATTTATACATGAGACTAATATAACATTGTGCCTTAACTATGCTTCAATTAAAAATATTTTTTAGGAGTGCCTGGGTGATGCAGTCAGTTGAGTGTCTGATTCTTGATGTCATCTCAAGTCATGATCCCAGGCTCATGGGATCAAGCCCCACATCAGGGTCCATGCTGAGCATGGAGCCTGCTTGAGAATCTCTCTCTCTCTCTCTCTCTCTCTCTCTCTGTCTCCCTCTCTCTCCCTCTGCCCCTCTTCTCTGCTTACATACTCATTCCCTCTCTAAAATGTGTGTGTGTGTGTGTGTGTGTGTGTGTGTGTCTTTTACAAAGATTACTCTCTCTGTTGTATTCTTTGTTCCCATTGCTAAGATGGTGTTTCTCCACCTAATAACACACATACATGCATGCATACATGCATATGCACATTAATGCTGTGGGTGTATGAATAGCTCAGAGCAAGCCCAATAACCTGATCACAGAGACAAGGCAAGGACTGACATGGGCAGAAAGGAGGAAAAGAGTGGGTGCATTCTGAACCCTTGATCCTGTAGATAAGCTGAGGTTCTCACCCTCAGACAAGGGCAGCTATCAAACAGACAGAGTTATACCCAAGGGTGAAAGGGGAGACAGACAGAAGGAGACACAACAGAGGGCTGCCCCAAAAGTCCCTCTGGGCCTCTTATGGCCTTGATTTGGCTCCCAAGTGTCAACATCATGGGAATCAGCAATGCTCTTGGAGCCACTCACATCACTGGTCTGGTCCTACTTTCCCTTAGCAGCTCTTGTGGTTGTCCTAGAATCCAAACCCTGTTACATGGAATAGGATGGCGTGGGAAGGCAGATTATGCTCATGTCCAGTGCACAGCCTCCAGGGAAGGACACTTGTCATGTGACCTTGGGCTGGCACTCAACATCTTGAGGGTCAGTGTTCTCATCTGCTGCTCCACACAGTATATGACCCATATGACTGTTTAACAAAATCCTAGCTCCTACCTCTCACGTTTATCAAATCTGAAAGTTCCAGATACCCCAAATAGGATATCGTGTGGCTTGACTCTATCTAAACTAGATTATAAGGGCTTGATTCATTCTTATCACTTCTGAATCCCTGACATCTTGGCCCCACCCAAAGAAAGAGGCGATCATTTCATCCTTCCTGAAATATTTCTAAGAGATAAACTAAACCCTGATGCAGATGATGAATACGCTGTACCTGGGCAAAGCAACTTGAATTAATCACAGCTGCTCAGTTTCTCAGTAACTACTATGCAATTTACCCTTGCTGCAGGCTCCTTTAAAAACAGACACACTGAGCTCAAGCACTAGGAAAAAGACCAGTTAACGCAGAATCAAAATTTCATCTAAAACATGGGAAAGAACTCCCAATGCCCATGCTTCCAGAACTTCATAGGGTATTTCCACTGGTTGACAGGATTTGTTCTTAAATTGCAAAATTAAAGATTCATCCTTGGGGGGCCTGGGTGGAACAGTGGGTTGGGTGTCTGACTCTTGATTTCAGTTCAGGTCATGATCCCAGGGTAGTGTCAGGCTCCATGCTGAGCAGGGAGCCTGTTTAAGGTTCTGTCTCTCTCTCTGCCCCTTTTCCCCTGCTCTCTCTCTCTCTCCCTCTCCCCTTCTCCTCTACCCACAACACAAATAAATAAATAAAAATAAAAATAAGAGAAGAAAAGATCTCTAAATTGAGAAAAAAGAACATAGTTGAGACACAGGAGTCACCTCAGATGTTGGTGGGTTCCCAGAAGAAAGCTCTTGCAACCTGCCTCCCTCCTTCCAGAAATGGAGGAAGAGGAAATACAGCCAATTCAGCAGGTAGATTTGGAGAATCAGAGACCAGAGGGTCCTGGGCTGCCTCCTCCCCTCCCAGCAGGAGCTCAGAAAAGCAGAAAGACTCTAGCAAAACAAAAAGGCTGCATGACACATCTTGCCCATGTGTCTAAGGGAGCCTCAGGGTCTTCCCTCTGCTCAGAGCCCCTGGGGTGAAGGGAAGGCTTCCTGGATGTCTAATAATAGCACAGACTTGGCACAAAATGCCACAGGGATGGAGAAGCTATGCAGGTCCGAGACTGGTTTCCTTAGACAGGTCTGCTTGCAAGATCGTCCCCTGACTGGCACCAAGGGACCTGATCTGGGGCGGATTCTCACCTTTCTGTAACTGGTAAGGATGGCTCACTGTGCTGACACTGTCCATACCACGCGATTTATATAAACCCTTGCTGTCCTTCTGGGCATCTGGAATTTTGGTATGTTCTAAGCCTAGGGTATCTACGTGGTGAGCCCCCAGTAAAAACCC